CTAAGTCCCAAGTTCTGCTGCTCCTAAATGTGGATCTCTTCCTAGAGCCTCTGACTTTCCCTTTATCGTGAGGCAATCCTCTCCCCATATCTACTTATCCATGTGTGGCTTTCCATGTTCACCATGTACAGTTGTTCATGTTGGACACTGAAGAAGAGAGCTGTGTCACTCACATCATAAACATTTATTATTTTGAAAGCATATTTATTATTTATCTATCTATATATAACAGTTTATTTTTACATCATTTTGTGCATTTTTCCATCTCATTTGCAATCCCCTTGGGCTTCCCATCACCAAATCACCCATGTGCCATCACCACAGTCCAGTGCATTTCCCTCCCCCCCACCACTGTTTTTGATCCCAACCCCCACTCCACCCCCACAAAATGTCTCTGGTATATAGTGTTCATCATTATCATTATTTTCTTGCCTGTTCCATTATATTACTGTTATGAGAGAAACTATTCTGTACTTTTCCTTTTCTGAAAGCTTATTTATTATTTTAAAAGCATAGTTCTTGAAAACTTTTTTGTATTGGGTTATTCCTTTGCTGTCTGTTGTCTGTAGTGCTCTATAGTTAATAGCAACCAGAATCCAGGAGATGGCAGTAAAGTATCTTGTTCCAATAGGGTTGGGGCAGCCATTCCTTTCCACTTAAGAAATTAGTTTGGAAATGGAAAGACTTTATTGATCACATATCACCTCAAATAATCTGTACCTCTAAATAAGTTGCTGATTTTCCACCTTAGGTCCAGAGCACATTTGAAAACAATCCTTATTGGCTTCTGTATATTGGCTTCACTCAGTGTTTCATATTTCAAGAACTATTTTCTGCTAATGATTTACTGTATTAGACCATTCTTACTGAATTCTAATTTAAATCCACATGTCTATTCACTTGATTTGAATCACTCTACCATACCTAGTATCCAATTACCACTAGTAATCCACAAAGAATGTGGGTGGATGGATATTAAAGAGTATTACACAAAGCCTGCTAATTATATTATTATGGCAGCTGTTTACTATTGGTTTAAAAATGTCACCAGGATAATTATCAAAATTAATGACTTGTTACCTACATATTATTTTAAGATTCAAAAACTCTAAGATAAACTATTAACCTTATTTGATACTTACGGATAACGTCTTTTGGAGTTCGGGGTCCCTGGGTTCACTCT